TATAAACAAAATATACAAGTTCTAGAAGCAGTGATCTCCAATCTTATCAAAAAGAGAGTAAAATGGCTAAAAAATTCTTCTGTTTCTTTCTTTTTTAACCCAAATGATCCATAAATTAGTATAAAGCATCAGGGATACAAGATTCTTGTGAGCTGGGAACACCTATAGGTTTGCCAGTCCTCAAGCAATGCAAGAATTGTCTATATATAACAATATGCCATATGGATGAAAAAGAGTTAGAAAAGGCTTAGAGTGGAAAGCCGAATATTATTACACGTGTTTAGTTGCAGCTATCCCATTAGAAGCATATTACAACACGTATTTAATAACGGATTCAATTCTGATATCTTACCATCTGATGGAAAAGGATGATAAGTCGGTAATACCCAATTGTTCTCATCACATATAGCATCCAGTTCCTGCTGAATGGAAAAAAGAGAGAGAAGCAAAGTGAAATCAAGGGTGTATCACCATAGGAAGTTGTAGCAGTTGCTCAAATCAAGCACACATTGTTGGAAACTGCACTCTGTTAGCATTTCATGATTTTTCTTTTTTTGTTTTTGAACTCTTTCGAGAGAAAAGAAGGGAAATGCATCACAAGCAATGGGTGGAACCCACATCCAAGAGAATTTTATGATAATTGGACAATGAAGCAGAGTGTGGCTATAACATCCAACACAGCCTCCATTTTCATTTTTGGGAGACACGCAAGTTTCTCACCCCACTTCGTCAAGGAACCCTTGATTATTTGCCATATTTCATGCATTTTAATACCCTCACATTTCAAGAAAGCTTATTATCATTTAAAAGGACGAGAAAAGACATCCTCTCCACCCCTGGGATCCCTGACATTTTAGCACCTCTATCTCACGAGAAGCTAGTGTTCTTATACCCCCTCTCCCGCACTCTTATCTCTACTAAGAGCTTACGAGGAGCATCTCATCATATGAACAGCTCAAAGGACTATTTCTCAGGCCCCATAAAACTAACTCCAAGTAACATGTTAATCTTTTGCAGTTTGCACACTGCTCAGAATCAATCCTAACTTGTAACTCAAACCTCTCATGTCCACCTTTATGTAGGATGCCAACCTTGTCATTTGATGAAAGCTCCAACCTGGCACTCCTACCCACCTGACCGCTAGCTTTCTCACTCAGGACGCTTGGCTGAATGGAAGAATTGACTATCTAAGTCAAAATCAACTGGTCAAAAGATTGCCTTTTCTCATCAGATCTTAGCCAAGTAAAAGAACAGTCAGATCTTGGTCCAAGTAGGATAACAACCTGAGGAGAGAATCATCTCAAAAGTTGATTCTGACATCAACTCCGAGCTGGCACCATCCTCTTCAGCAACATCTAGCAACTTCCACTCCTATCCCAAAGTAGCTGCACACTCTTGCCTGGCCCAGAACAAATTCCAAAAAAGAACAAATTCCAAAAAAGAACAAATTCCAAAGAAGATAGTTTAAGGCCTAAAAGAAATCCCAAAGCACAAGCCTCAAGTCCTTCACAAGAATTATCCATAAGTTTTATCAGTTTATTTAGCTTGAGGCTCACGATTTTGGGCCTTGACATTGAAATTCCCTGCTTGGCTGGGGCCTAAATATATATGTCTCTTTCTGTACAAGGAAGAGCTTGGCGGTAGGCTCGTTAGGCTTCATCTGGTCAAGCCCATGACCACCATTTACTCTTCCCTTCTTATTTCTTGGCAGGTCAAACTGGTTTTGAAATTTGAATTGTTCCAAGCCCTTCTAACTATGATTTGTAGGCCAAAAATTGTAAAGCAACCACTTATTTGTGAGGCTAAAAAATGCCCAGTTTAACCATGAGCCCGATCCCAAAGATTGGCCATGGACTGGCTGTGCCCTCTGATTATCATATTTCCTACAGGACACGCTAACTCATGCCGCATACAACTTTAAAGTAACATCTCTCCACCTCCACGTTTTCTTTTCTGTCTAGATCCAACTTGCAAATTCTCCCCCCTCCCGGTTCCCCCACCAGGAAAGGCCCCCACTAGCCAGCGTTCCTTGTACTCTAAACATACACAAGGTTTGAAGAATCATCGAAGAACAGACTATTTTGCCATTTCTATGAGATGGAATAAGTCATGAGACCTCCACTTCTAACAACAACAGAAAACTTCCTCTCAACATCCAAT